CGTGGAAAAATGTGTGGGACCAATTTTGCTTCTTTTTACTGTTTTTCCTAGCTTTCTTATCTTCTTTAGATAAGTGAAAGAGGTCATTAGTTTTTTTTCCCTCAGTTCTTTTTCTTTTCTCTTTTCTCTTTTAGCCTGCTATATGGTCAAAATAAGGAAGATCAATTTTAATTTGTTTCCCTTTTTCTATGTTCCCTTTGCAACCAAACACAACATAAGACAATATATCTGTGGATTTGGTGGGTAAAGTGAGAAGTATTTGTCAGGATCTACTAGTTACATATTGGATGCCTAATGGAAATGCACCTTGAGACTGTAATTACAAAGTACAAAACAGACAAGTGAAAACATTCCACTTACCCTTCAATCAGTGGATTTTGAAGGACCATACCTACTAAAAATATCTATCCACTGAAATTGATAAAAACTTATTTATTATTTTCTTTGGCTTTACATTTCAAGTCATAAAAGTTAAGAGGTTGTTTGGTATCGATGGCATTTATAAGATAAATGTTTTGTACGATTTTGTCTTGAAAAACGAGACCAAATCTGCTTTAAACATTTTGTACGATTTTCTTACACCTCAGTGCCATTAGGCGCCATATAAGCCAAACAATGAAAAATCGGTCTTGAAAATGAAAAATGTCAAAATTGATGTTTTTTAATAAATGGTTCACACGATTTTTGAGAAAGCCATTTATCTGATAAACGGTTCAACCAAATAACTTTTTAGGCATTTTTTTGTTAAACACATCTCTAATGCTGAGCTGACACCGTTTCTTCCAAAAGCTACACCGATACCAAACATCATCTAAATCAGAATATTTTAGTAGCAGCACAAAAAGTTAATACTTGCAAACAATAGTTTTCATATTTTTACTCTTTTATTATGTGCATTTTTGTTAATTAGTGGCAATAAAAGCAACTACTTTCTAAATTTCATTGGACTTTTTTCTTTTTTATTTTGCCACTGAACAAACAAAGGTAAGAACACTTTCCCTTTCTCCACAATCCAAATGTCCATTATGTATTTTTTATTTCAACATAAACTCATCATAGTCCCATTTTCCAATGTTTAGAAAATTGGACTAGATCAGCCAGTTGGACTGGCTAAACTGTGACATGGGCCCTCATCAGTTTGGTCATACCCCTACAACCATTATCATCAACAAATTGGCCAGCTGGCTAGTCCAATTAGAGTAAATCAGCCTTTGGTTTATAAAATTAGCCAGTTTTTTATCATTTTAATTTTAGCTAATATGCAAATTTGCAGAGGCGTCTTGGCCTCATTATTTTTGCCAAAAAAAAAAACATCCGGTCTTAATTTTAATATAAAAATTGAAACTAAAATAAAAATATATGTTATAACAAAATATAAATATATACATTGAATACATGTATATAATTAATACTATTATGTATATATTATGTTATTGTTGTTGTTATTATCACATCATCACATTTTGACCTCAAACCTCTGACCCGTAAATCTCTCTCTTTTTTTATTGTCTTTGGTTCTCTAAACATTGTCTATATATATATATATGGATGTTCAAGTTAAGAAAATAAAAATAAAAGAATAATTAGTTAATTATAAGTTTATAAGAGAGTGCAAAGGCTGAGCAATAAATATATAGATGACTTTATTGGTTGTGGACCATGTTTAATTATATCTCTTTTTTACTCAGGCATGGATGTAATATATGTTGAGCTTGTTGCAAGATTTGGACCATCTATGTATGTGTACTAGATGGGCCACAGTCTGAAGATGTTGAGTTGACTTGGTGATCCCGTATGATGGCCCATCTAAATCTAACCACCCATTAATGGAAGTGTTGTGTATACCATACCTTCTCTGCCCAGCTGCAAGTTTACTCGGGGATCTTTCGAGGCAATCCACCAGGTGAGGCGAGTACGACTCAGCCCCATAGGTTTCTCTTTATCGTGACAAATCCTTCCAAATTAAGGGCCAGTTTGGTTTGTGGGATTGGAAGTATAGAATCAAAATCAAAATGGATCATTCCAATTTTAATCATTTGGTTGAGTGGAATCAGAATTTGGTTCTCATTTCTAGTGGAATGAGAGAATGTCCATTATATTTGGAATGAGAAATTCATTCCAACCAATTCTAATTTCAAATCCGATTCGAGCCTAACTAAATAGGTTGGGGAAAAACTATTTGGATTCCAATTCCGATTTTGGTTTCAATTCTCTAAATATTGATGAATGATGATTACTTTACTACTACTTGATTAGATAAATTAGTAGCTAGATTTAGATATCTACTAAACATTTCTAACATGGGTCTTCATTGTCTCTCATAAAATTCATATTTACTCTCTAATAAAAACAGTCTTAAATCTCTCATGGGTCTTATTGTTTCCATATTTACACTCTAATGAGACAATTCTTAATGCTCCATTTGGGAAGAATGCAAATACAAAAGCTTATCTAGTATATTTCTAAACCTTGTATATACACTATACGTACTTGTATTTCTACTCTTCCCTAAATTTGCCCACCAATACATGGTATGAACTAATTTTCCTCCTCTATAAAAATTTAAAGAAATCATTGTTCCTTTTTCCATGGGCTCCCTCTCTCTCTCTCTCTATTAATTTAATATAGATTTGTTTCATAGATTGTTATGGTTCAATAATAAAATGCATTAAGAAAGTATTTAACATGAGCTTTAGTTATATTTGTTGGCTCAATTTTGAAATTGTTTTTTTTTTCACTTGGTTATTGATCTCATGCTAAGCACATTTTTTTAAACCAGCTCATGCATGAGTTTATAACAATAAAAGATAGAGTAAACAACCCGGTTTCATACACAAAATGAATAGTTAAATGTGAACTGATAAGTAATACATTTTCATCTAGGCTGCGTTTGGAAACGATGCAAATAGAGTGTGAATGCAAATATGAAGAGTGTAAAACGGTTCATGCAAATACAAAGTTGGGTTAGTTTTGCATTTACAAATTTACCTTATTACCAAACAAGCTTTTACCTGCAATGGATGCAAACAAGAATTCTAATAAAGTACGTTTTTTTTTTATCAAAAGCCCACTTGAAATACAAATTTACTTATTTTTTATGGATGTACTTTTACATCTCATTATCGATATAAACATGCATTGAAAAATATATTTTCTGTAAACAGGCAAAACTGAACTAGAGTGTAAATTTACCTTGAACCAAGATTACACTCCATTTACATTGTTTCCAAGCGCAGCGTTAGGATTTATAGGATAAAATTCAGTGTGCTTTATGTGTACATTACATGTGCAATATAAAATAAAAGTAAACTTCTCTATAGCATTTAAATGCATGCATATATAATTTATAAATTAAAAAAATATCGTGTATTATCTGCCTTGCATTTTTATTGAAACAAATAAAAATATGACTATACAGTATTTATATTTTAAAACTAATAAGGTTTTAATTTAACTTCATAGTCAAAATTATAGAAAATAAGCTTAAAAATTGCAGATATATGCATTGGTTTCAAGGTTGGGGGTGAGTTCATTGTTGTCCAAGCCTTATTGCAAACATATGGGGTTGGCTACATGAATACTATTTAGCCATTCTATTTTGTTTAATGCCATAATTTTTTGCCACAAAATTTTATGACACCCCATACCCATGAAATATAATTAATGGGGAGATGACATGGGTAATAAATCCAATGCACACCTATGCTGTCCTGTGTAGAGATGGTAATTTTTCCCATTCCCACCGGGTACCTGACCTCGGGGATGGGGGATTAATAGGAACCCCTAACCGAGGTTAGGGTTGGGGACGGGGAATGAAGTCCCTACCCTGACCCGACCCTAATTATATATATGTATATATTAAATATATATTATTTATATTTTTATATCAAAATATGTTTAAAATATTATTTATATTTTAAAAATTTCTTTTATTTTAAGTAAACTTATTTTTTTCAAAATTCCTGCTAATTAAAAAGATTTGAGGATTCAGGTCCTTGCAAGGAACCCCCCTGGGGGATGGAGGATAGTTTTTATTTCCATCAAGGTCAGCATCGTAGACTGGAATTTATCTCTAAGTCGGGGAATATGATCCCCACCTTGAACCCACCCATTGCCATTTCTAGTGAATGATAAGGGAGATATTCCCAATCTGTTCTTATACTATCTTGTGGTAGGGATGTGGAAAGAGTTTGTAGTAGAAGATTTGGGCTTGGAGGAGGATTACCCTTAATTGTGTAGAAATAGGGACATGGTTTTGTTTTTGAAAACAAAACCAATTATATCATCCGACACCCCATAAAAATTCAAATTTTCTGAAAAAGTAATAGGTTCAAGAAATATTCAAGTTTATTTATTTTTAAATTGTTGGCTTGTTTGATGTTTTTTTTCTTCTTTTTCTTTTTACTGTTTTAATGAATCACCCTAAACAAGTGGGATTCTCTTCTTGAGGGTAGCCACGGATTATTTAACCCACTCTCTATTATTTAGGGTATGGTCATCAACCTGTAAAAAAAATATAAACCGAAAATTTATTATTTTTGAATGCTAAGTAGGTTTGAAGCTTTATAATCCCCATCCATCCATGTCTTTCAGCACGAGGACGACCATGGGCAAGAGAGTGGTGCTGATGGTGATGGTGGAAAGTGGCTATTTATTGACTCCAACGGTATCTGCACCACCAATCATTCAAATAAAGCAAAAATAGAAAAAAAAAAATAAAAGCGCTCACTTAAATTTAGGGTGTTTCCCTTTAATTTTTGATAATAGCGGATTGGTGTTAGGTGGGCTCCAGCAGTACCACAATAGACGAGGGTGGTTTCATCTTTGGGAGCAGGAGCAGGATGTAGTTCAATGCTGATGCAGTTCGACCACACTTGATCGTTGTTTTGTACGAGATCTTCCCTTTTTCAGTGTTTTTCTCAACCCACAATTCACCCGTACACAGAGCTCTTCCACAAATGAAATGGCTTTTCTTTTATTTTATTTGGGCAGCTTCTCCAGTGCTCTCTTTGCAACAAAACCTATGTAACTGTTTCAACCCTTCTACTTGATTTAATTTCTTTTTACCCTCCCAAACCATTTGAAAACCCCAAGAAAGAGAGAGTCTCCTTGATGAACTCAAAATAGATTCATCATCAGACCAAAAAATATTAATAAAAAATTGAAAAAAAAACCTCGTTTCCTGCTCTTCTTTCCCATTCTTTTCTCTTGTCACTTGGGTTCCTGTTTCTCTCATCTCCCAAATCCTAGTCCTCTCTTCTTCTTTATTAACTCAAATTCTCATCTGGGTTGACTGTTTCTTCTCACTTTAGCTCTTATACAGCTCCATCTTTACATGTTTTTTTTTCCTATTTTAAATCTGTTGTATTTCCTCTACATCTTGGCTTGTTTTCTTATCTGGTTTCTCAGATTCCTGAAACACCACCTGGTTACCTTGGCGACGATGTTTCATTTGAAGCCCTTTCCACCCTTCGATCTGTTTGCTGTGCCGCCCGATCCGGAGCTCCATTGACGTCCAAGGATCCTTCAAGAGGTCAGATGGAGTCTTTCACTTTCTATCATTATTGCTCTATACATCTGCTTTATATGTGCTTTTAGTTTATCGGAGAATCGGTAAACCTACAGAAATACACGAGGAGGTCTTGGTTCAGTTGTAATGGAGAAGCTAAGAGTGTTCTTGGCCTTGGTTTCATAATGTTTTAGTTTGATATATTGATGATGCATAATCACCAGAACACCCACCAGGCAGAGGGATTTGTTGGGTTTCCTCTGTTTCCTTTAAGCTACTTTCCGTTGTACCTGCTCATGGTGCAAAGCCACAGAAATCTTCCATTCCGGAGGTCTCCTATCTAGTTTGGTCCGTGATGGGGAACAGCACTTCCCGCGTGGTGAGGTGCTTTGTTCCAGTTGATAGCGGAAAAGGTGGGGTTGATTTAGAGTTCTTAGAGCCACTGGATGAAGGATTAGGCCATTCCTTCTGCTATGTAAGGCCGATGATTCTTGACTCTCCTGCCATAACCCCGTCGAATTCAGAGAGGTTCACGGTTGATTCTAGTACGCTTGATTCTGAAACACTAAGTGGGTCGTTTCGCCATGAGAATGTAGAAGACCAATTGGGTTTACAAAAGCCCAACCGGGGGTTTCCTGAAACAACATTCAAAACAATATCGGGGGCTTCCGTGAGTGCCAATGTCTCTACAGCTCGTACTGGAAATCAGAGTGCACTTTTTGCGAGTGATGCACAAGAGCCTGCTGCATCATTTGAGGGCACTTCTTCCTTTGCAGCGATACCCCTGCAGCCGGTGCCTCGGGGCTCAGGGCCTTTAAATGGATTCATGTCGGGACCTCTGGAGAGAGGTTTTGCTTCTGGTCCTTTGGAAAAGGGAGGTGGGTTTATGTCCGGGCCAATTGAAAGGGGAGCCTTCATGTCAGGTCCTCTAGACGGTGCAGATAAAACCAACTTCTCAGCACCACTTGCTTATGGTCGTAGAAAGCCAGGTCTTGGGCGTTTAATGAGGAGCGTAAGTAGACCCATGAGGAGTGCCCTCTCTCGGACCTTCTCAAGACGATCGGTGGGCTCTGGGTGGATGCAACGTTTTTTCTTGCATCCAGTTACTCAATTTGTCTGGCACTCCAAGGAGACAAAGTTTCGACAGGAAGGTCCAAGAAACTGTGTCGAGGTAGGCCTATCAGAAGGCGAGTATAGGAATACCCGCAACTTGCAATGGGCTCATGGCAAGGCTGGAGAAGACAGGGTTCATGTTGTGCTGTCTGAAGAGCAGGGATGGTTGTTTGTTGGGATATATGATGGCTTTAGTGGCCCAGATGCACCAGATTTTCTTATGGGCCATCTTTATAAGGCTATTGACAAGGAAATGGAAGGATTGCTTTGGGATTATGAGGATAAACCTGTAAGTGACCAACCAAATTCCCAACTTCTTGATGCCGGAAATGCTGCAGCTTCTTCAGAATCCAGGGAAGAGGATCATCCAAAACATCAAGTGCATGAACAAGTTGTTTGTGGTAATTCAGAGCTTGATCCTAGAACTATAAAGGCCCAACCATCTAACAATGAGATAATTGAGGAAAAAGATGCGACCATGGAAATCATTGAACTGCAGGCAGATAAGAAAAGGAGTGAAGATTCAGATGCAATGCCATCTATTTCAGGCATAGAATCGGATTCCATTATGAATGGAAAAATAGCTGGTCAAGGTAGGAAAAGCAAGAGGCTTTATGAACTACTTCAGTTGGAAAGCTGGAATCTTGAAGGTTCTACCTTGGCCTTGGAGACTGGAAACTGGAAAAATGGTTTGCACAATTTGCAAGCAAGTGCAGATGGATTGTATTCAAGAGAGGCCTTATCACAAGCACAGCTTCTATCAACCTTGGTGAATCCCAAAGGAGAAACTTCTACTTGTCTGGCAGAAGATACTAGTACTTCCCGGGAAGATGGTGGGGTTATTGGGTTGGAATCTGAGCAAGATGCTATGGCTTCGTGTTCTTTTTCAGAACAAAGGCAGGGGACAAGAAAGTCTGTAATTGGGTCAAAGATAAAAAGAATGTACAGAAAGCAGAAGTCATTGCGTAAGAAGCTGTTCCCTTGGAGTTATGATTGGCATAGAGAAGAGATTCATGTGGATGAGCGAATAGCAGAACCAGTGGGGCCCATGAGGAGATGCAAGTCAGGGCTTGTTGATCATGATGCAGTTTTGAGGGCAATGTCTCGAGCACTTGAAACCACTGAGGATGCTTACATGGAAATGGTGGAGAAGGCACTTGACAAAAACCCAGAGCTTGCTCTGATGGGATCCTGTGTTCTAGTAATGTTAATGAAGGATCAGGATGTCTATGTGATGAACCTTGGTGATAGCCGTGTGATTTTAGCACAAGAGAGGCCAAATGATCGCCACCCGAATCCAAATATTCTGAAGGATGATGTAAGGCATCGGAACAGATCAAGGGAATCACTTGTACGTGTGGAGCTGGACAGAATATCAGAGGAGTCTCCAATGCATAACCAGAACAGCCAAATCAACAAAATCAACAAGAATAAAGAGATATCTATTTGCAGATTAAAGATGAGGGCTGTTCAACTTTCTACTGATCATAGCACAAGTATTGAGGAGGTATTATAAAACTTTCCTCTTTTTCATTTTCTTACAGTAGTCCTGATTTTGCTTGAAAATGTTAATTGATTGTGAAACATATACAAGAACTCAACACTAATTATGTTCTTTTTTGACCTTAAGGCTAGTGCTTTTCTTTCGGTCACTTAAAATGCAATAGTGTTAGAATTTAGAAATCCATAATTAGATGCCATTATGCCATGGAAGTATAATTTGACATATTTGGACTGGATACTTAGTGTTGGCTTCTGTATAGCATTGCATCGACCTTATGGTTTCAGTTAGTTTTACTTGAACAAAGAAGAGAACAGATCCTTCTCATGGATTTGATTTGGTACATGTCATCACAATTGCAGGTTGTATACTGATATTTGATGGTGGCACTATAAGAATTTTCTTACATGGATTTGACCAAACAGGCATGGGTCGGCACATTTACGTGTCAGGGCACTAGAAGCATTTTTCTTGCTTCTTGCAGATACCTTTTGAAACAGTTGTTTCTTCACATATTTGGAATCTGTTGGCAGCACCAGTTTACAAGGATTCACTGAATAATGCTTAGTCTTTGGGGCATTTTTAAATACTGATATCCAATTTTGATCTTTGTTGTCCCCGTAAGTTAAGTAACCTAAGTGCATTCATGGGAGTTCATATTTCTAATTAGACAAGGTACTGAGGTCAAAGCTGTTATGCTGATGTCTACTTTGCTAGTACGCACATCTGTGAGTCCAGGGTTTGGGACATTTTTTTGTTGTCTTTTTCCTTGATTTTTTTTCCAACTTTATACATTTTCTTGTCATCAAGAGAATGAAATTTATATTAAGGGAAGATGTCTGGAAAAGATCCTGGGGTTCCACACTACTATTTTGTTCAGCTGGAAGATGTCCAAGTCAGCCTTTGAGCAGTGTTTTAAAAGGCACACCTCAGGCATGCCTAGGTGCACCATGTGCCTTGCGCCCTTGCCTGGATCAAGGCACAATTTCCTTTCAAAAGGTGTGTGCCTGATGTGCCTTGTGACTCAGCCCAGGTATATGGGTTTTCTACATATTCCTTTTTGTTTCTGTTTTTTTTTTTTTTTTGTTTTTGTAGAATCTTATATTCTTTACTGTTTTGTAATGGTTTATCAACTTCTAAATTATCTTTTATTGCTGTTTGTGCACTAGTAATGGTCTATTAACTTCTGAAATAAACAAAAAAAGAACCTTTTAAATACCTGAAACCTCAGTTCCCTCATAATGGGGAGGGACAGATGTATGCAGCCTTATCCCTGCAGATACACAGAGAGACTTTTTCCAAGATTTGAACCCTGATCACCCAGGTCTCAATGGAGCAACCCAACCTTTGCGCCAACGCCTACCCTCCTTTCTATATACGGGTCAAGCATTTAGGTGAGAGGTAATTCCCCAAACCCCTGCATACACTTGTTTGGGCTTGCCTCAAGGGGTCTTTATAATGGAGGCTGAGGGCCAATCTTCAAAGATTAGGAAAACAAGATGTTTAACATCACACTGGCTACCTGAAGTATGCAACTAGGAGATAAATAACCACATTGAAAGTTTCACAGGTTTGAATTGTTTTGTGCTTGAAGCACTTTGGTATGATCTACATATGTTTGCTTTCACTTTGACATTTTTTACTTTGAATATATTTTATATGTCATGCTTTATGTTTTTTAATTTGAGCCAGTAGGTTTTTTAAACCATTTAATTTCTTTTAAAATTCAATTTTGCATTTTTATGTATTATTGCATTTTTTTTTTAACTTTTTGATTTTTTTTTCAAAAGTTTGCACCTCACCTTGTGCCCTGTGCCTCGGGTGCCAAAATCCCCTTATGCTGTTTTTGCACCTTGCACTCTTAAAACATTACCTTTGAATTGCTTACCTCTTCAATTGGGGATGTATATCAGATGATTTATATGGGTAGAGAGGATGCTGATCTTATGCTTGGCAAAAGATGATCAATCTGAATGGAGGTCTTATGAACCAAAAGCAAAAAAGTCTGTGCATGTAGTTCCTGCTAATGATAAACAAGTAGATGTAGTCTCCCCTGAGCTAGGATCAAATCCCATATTCGCCCTCCCTGGTTCTCTCCCCAAAATGTGCCTGAAAAACATGAGAAGAAAGGGCTGAAGCTCTAGGAGTAAATTGTGAAAAACTTAAAATAGCTTAGCTTTGTCGCTGTGATTTAAAAGGTGTGACTAGGTGCTCAGGTGAGGTGCATTTTAAGGTATGTGCCTCGCCTAGGCCTTAGGCACGGCACTTTCAAAAGGTAAGCACCTGGTGCTTCAGCACAGGTGTGTGCCTTTTTTTATTTTTTGTGATTTTTGTTGCCTTGAGGGGTTTGGTACAAAGGTGGCTCGTAGAATTAGGAAAACACGATGTTTTACACCAGATTAGCTATTTGAAGTATTGCAATTGAAGAAAAAAGAGATTTTGGGTTTTACATGCTTGAAAATGTTTTATATGCTTGATTTTGTTTTTAAGTTTTATTTTGAATACGATTTACATGTTATGTTTATGTATTTTAATTTAGATAATAGGTTTTTTAAAACATTTATTTTAAAATTGAAGTTTATATTTTTATTACATTTATTTTGGTTAAACTGAGCTGAATTGATCTTTTCACGAGTCGAGCGTGAATAGCTAGTAAAAAGCTCAATTTGTTTCCACCCTTACATCTTGCCCCAACAATGTAAATAAGTGCTCCCAAATCCTCACAAGTGGGGAGAGGAGACAAGCAGATGAAGAGTGGTGTAACCAAAATGGCAATACAAACACCTTTTACCTACAAAATGAAAACTAGGAAAAAGAAAAGCTACCTCAAATAGGCAGAAAACATAACAATCAAGGTAACAAATTACACCAACATACTATCCTGGAATGTCAGATTCCCAGGACAACAGACTCATCTGGGTTCACCCTAGCAAGTCTAACTGCTAATAAGTTGGCAAACCTATGAATTCGTTAGAATGAGTTGTTCACTGTTGTGACCAAGGCTCTTGATTATGTTTCCCTGATTGAATGTCTTAAGCTCTGTGTTTGCATCTGCGAAAAAAGTAAGGTATTGCATTAAAATCTCAATGGAACAAGCACGCATAAAGATATTCAGCATGCCGAAATAAGGTATTGCATTAAAATCTCAAGGGATGCATTGAGATCCACAAAAAGAGAAGCAACAATTTGTTTATTAAGCATGCCGAAGTGATTAACATAAAACAAGGATGAGGATATGACTTCTCTGAACTCCTCTTAACAGACAATCAGGAAAGAACTGTGCTAATAACCTTCCTGAGAACAGCTTCATGAGCTGAGGCCTGAGGGCTTATTTAGATATTCTGCTATTTATTTCAGAAAAGAAAACCATAGGGTCTAATTTTGGAATGTAGAACTAGTACAAGCAAGCTCATTGCAGACCATATAGAATTACAACTTTTGAGAATGTCCTTTGGAGATATCCCTCACAGGACCAGGCAATCCCCAGTTCAAAGTCTTTATTCACTCCCACCGTAGCCAACATATCTGCTAGGTCTTTTCCTGACCTGGGAATCCATTAGTACAAGTGGTTCATTTTGGATACTAGTAGTTTGATCTACATTTTAATGGAAGTCAGTTGGTGAAAGACTCTTGGGGAATGTTCTACTCTAGAAACCCATAACATATGTAGATATCTGGAGAGCATAGGAAAGTGTTTTTTATTAGTAGGTAACCCGAGAACGATGAGTGTGCTTTGGAGTACCTAGGACTTCTATTAGGGGGGAACCTGAGAACAATAGACTTCTAGAAACTTGTGATGGAGGAATTTACAAGTTGGCATTGCGGAAAAGAAACTGCATTTCAATGGGTAGAAGAATAACTTAATTAAATCCAGAATGGCTAACTTACCCATTTACTACTTGTCTACCTTTTGTATTCTAGTTAAAGTGGCCAAGCAACTAAAAAACACATGAGGGACTTCTTGTGGGAATTGGGGGAAGAAAGAAAGAATCACTTGGTTAAATGGGAAAAAGTTACCAAACTGAAGGAGCAAGGTGGTTTAGGAACTGAAAACCTGATTCATAGGAATTAGGTTCACTACTCTGTAACTTCCCCTTGGAAATCAATTCAAGAGGTACTCCTGATCTTTCTTAATTTTACTCACTTTGATGTGAGTTGTGGGAACAGAGTCCTCTTCTGGGAAGATCTTTGGGTAGGTGAGGCTCCCCTCAAATTGCAATTCCCTTTACTTTATACACTCTCTAACTATAAATTTGAACCTGTGTCAAAATTTGGGGTAGCCTCCCACTTAGGGTTACATTGGGACTTTGGTTTCAAGAGGGATTTAAGGGACAATGAATGTGCTTCCCTTGATCAGTTGTTGGCCATCTTGGAATCAGTCTTTATGGAACCTAACTTGGAGGACAAAAGAATTGGTCAATTTCTCCTGATGGCTTATTCACTTGTGCTTCCTTCTTCAATACCCTATTACAACCTAATAATTTGGAGGAGAACTTCTTGGTGAAAGAGATTTGGAGCAAGCCTATTCACCAAAAGTCCAAGCTTTATGTTGGGAAGTATTCCTTGGAAAGATCAATAATTGTGATATACTTCAAAAACGGTCTCATAAATATTTATCTTCTCCTTATACTTTGCAAAGTTAGTAGTGAGACCATTCCTCGTTTGCTAATCTCCTGTCCTTTTGTGCTTTATGTTTGGGAGTTTTTTTGTTCTCTCTTTGGATGCAGGTGGGTTCCTCTCCTAGATGTGGTAAGTCTTTTCAATCCAAGCTTCCTGAGGCAACCAAAGAAGAGAGGAAGGATCATGCGGAAGGCAACTAGGGCAGCAGTGGTGTGGACTATTTGGGAAAGAAAGGAATGAGAGATATTTAAAAAGAATGGCAAATCCAAGGAAGAATTAGTGGAAAGCATAAAGATTAAAGTTCACATTGGGTAAAGACAGTGGAAGTATTTCAAACTTTCACAGCAAATGACTTTTTAAGATCATGGATTGAAGTGGCACAATCAGCTAAAACTAAGGATAGGGTGATTATAGAGGGGAATGCCCCAACAAATAATACAATAAAATTGAACTTGTTCAGAGATTTCTTGGGCAGGGTGGTGGCTATGTACTTGGAACCAATTGCAGATGGGTGTCCCTTGGGGAATCCGGGGTGGGCAGGTAGGGGGGTGTATTCAGAGGTTTCTAGGGCAGGGTGGGAACTTGTTGAAAGAAGAATTAATGGCTTTAATGCAAGGACTAAGATTAGCAAAGCAGCTTGGATTTCAACATTTGGAAGTAGAAGGTGATTCGATGTGGGTAATATCTTGGATAAGTAACAAGAGTGCAGTCCCTTGGATACACAGTCATTCATTTGAAGAAAGAGATTGTTTATCAAAAGAACTGAATATCTTTCCAGAATGGGTTAGAACAGCAAATTGGATAGCGGATTCACTAGCAAAATAAGCGCTTGTACTAGTCCTACATTCAAATTTTGGAATTTATAGTCTTCTTTCTGAGATGAAATATTCTCCATTACCAATAAAAACTTTTTTTTTTATTAGCAAATAAATTTTTATCAGGAGAAGTAAATAGGATTTAGTAAAAGCAGGTTGGAACATCCCAACAGCCCAAGGTTACAATAGAATCACACTTTTGTCCAAAACAGATTTTGTCTATTAAACCCTAGTCCAAAAAGTTTTTATTCAAACCCACCCTGACAGGCATATCTGCTAGATTGTTTGCTGACCTATGAATCCAATTGAACAAGTGGTTTGTTGTCTGTAGTTTGATTTCTATTATCAGATGTCTTAGACTCTAAGGACCTTGTTCTTCTAATGCAAGCCATATCACAACTTTGTGGTCATCTTCCATGATTAAATCAGCTTAGTTGACCAGTCCATTGAACTGCTCAGCTCGAATCATTGGAGAGGTGCTATTGTTTTAGCCTTCAAAGTGTTCTCCAGTTACTCCACAGTAATTAAGCAGGAGTTTGACTTCATAATTTCTAATTGCTCTTCCAATTCTAGATGGTCCTAGATTGTCTAGACAACA